CCTTGACCGGAATCGAACCTGGGACCCTTCAGTCCACAGGCTGACGCTCTATCCACTGAGCCATACCGGTTAGGGCTGGGTTTCTTTTTTTTTAAATATATTTTTATTGATTTCAGAAAGGAAGGAAGAGGGAGAGAGAGATAGAAACATCAATGATGAGAGAGAATCATGGATCGGCTGCCTCCTGTACGCCCTCCACTGGGGACCGAACCCGGGACCCTTCAGTTTGCAGGCTGATGCTCTATCCACTGAGCCAAACTGGCTAGGGCCCTCCAGGTTTCTTTTTCTATGAGGTGCTTGTTCACAACTTATGCTGAATTGGCTTTTGGGTCCTTTGTCTTTCTTCTTGATTTGCAGAAGTTCTTTACATATTCTGGAAACTAAACTCCTGCTGGTTGTGTGCATTGCATTTGGATTCTCTTTTCGGGTTGTGAAATTTTACTGAGCTGCACACTTATGACATACATTTTTGTTGTGCATATTGTAATTCACAAAAAATTTATTGAAAAACCGTTCCTTATCCTGAGGCCATAAAAATATTCTCCTAGATTGTCTTCTCAATGTGTTAAATTTTGTTCTTCACATGTAAGCCTTGCGTGCACCTGGAGCTGTGTGTGGGCGTAGGTGGATCTAATTTTACTTTTTCCATATGGATCGCCACTTGTTTTAATACCGTGTATAAGAGTCGGTCTTTTCCTCACTGGTTGGTGATGACTGTCATATAGCAAGTCCTCATCTGTGCACAGTTCTCCTCTGGGCCCTTCTTCTGTTCATCTCATCTCTTTATAGCCTGACGCCAAAGTGGGTCTGCTTGATTTCTTTAAAAAGTTTCATTATTTGGGCCTGGCTGGTGTGGCTCAGGGGTTGAGCGTTAACCTAGGAACCAGGAGGTCACGGTTCGATTCCCCGTCAGGGTACATGCCCGGGTTGTGGGCTCAAATCCCCAGTGTGGGGCGTGCAGGAGGCAGCTGATCGATGATTCTCTCTTATCATTGATGTTTCTCTCTTTCTCTCCCTCTCCCTTCTTCTCTGAAATCAATAAAAATATATTTTTTAAAAAGTTTCATTATTTGGTAAGATTCAATGGAGGACTTGAAGACAGGAATTATAGTTAGAATGGTGATAAGGGTGAGCTGGAGATGGGTTTTAGAGGCCAAGGCCAAAGGTCAAGAGTCCATTTGGTGGCTGCTGCAGTGTCCAAGCGAGAGGTGAGAGTGGCCGTGGTGGAGGCTGAGAAGTGGTCTAATGTTGGACGTGTAGTGGAGGTAAAGCAGAACGGATTTGCTGATGGAACAGAAAAACGGCGATCAAAGATGACTCCTTGGGTTTTTGCTCAAATTAGCTGGGAGGACGGTGATGCCATTTGCTGAGATGAGAAAGCCTGGGGTGAAGCTGGCAGGTAGGCCCTTAGAAAATGCCCAATAAATGACTGAAAAGGGTGAATGAGGAGTGGAGGCCGGTGGTGCTGAGTGAGGGCGCTGCCGCCCCACGCCCTGCAGCCCTACTTCTGAGTCCTCAGGGCGGATGAAGCACCACCCTTCTTGTTCACATTAGTGCTTTAAAAAAAAATTTTTTTTTATTGATTTCAGGGTAGAAGGGAGAGGGGGAGAGAGATAGAAACATCAATGATGAGAGAGACCATTGATTGGCTGCCTCCTGCATGCCCCCCACTGGGGATCGAGCCTGCAACCCAGGCATGTGACCGGAATCGAACCTGGGACCCTTCAGTCTGCAGGCCAACGCTCTATCCACTGAGCCGAACCAGCGAGGGCAGCCTGAGGTTCTTTAAAGAGGGCTCTGAACTTGAACCCGAGTCCAGATGTGACCCTTGTAATTAAGCTGTAACAGGTTTTAACACTGTGGACCGCAGCATCCTCATGTGTCACACAGGGATTAGAGACCAGTCCCGTTCCAACGCTAGTGGGTGTGGGGCAGCGCATGGTGTCATGCCCAGTGCTGTAAAGCACAGAGTGTGGGAAGAGCTCAGGAGATCTATCTCAGTGCTGCGGCCGAAGCAACGCTGTGAGTACACTCCAGCGAACAGACTTCCTTGGCACACCAG